CACCCAGAGATCCTTCCCTTTGTGCCCCCCTTTGACCCCCCCCTTTTCCCACTGTTTTCCCCCCAGGTGGATCCCCCTGGATTCAGCTCTGTCCCCGCAGATCCAGCGCCTGCCCAGCTCGGGGGGTCCTGGCTTTGGGGGGGGGGCCCGGCCCTGTGTCCCCCCCCTCCCTGCCCCAGTGGCCCCCCCGGCAGGAGGAAGAAGAGGAGGAGGAGGAAGAAGAGGAGGAGGAATGGCAGCGCCGTGGCGGGTACTGGAGCCCGCCCAAAAATCCATAAAAATTTACTGATCCCACCTTTTCTTACCCCAAACGAGCTTTACCTGGGCAAGAAGTAAGGCCAAAGGCTCCCACAGCATGGCTCAGGTAATGAGCCCCCACCCTCTGCATCCTGACACCCCCAGGCCCAGGAATTTGGGGGAACAACGGCCCCAAAAAAATGGGAAAAGGGAAAGAAGAGGGGGAGAGAGCTGGAGCTTCCCTCCCCCTGTGCTAGGGTGGGGGGTGCCTCCCCATCCTGCTCCAGGGAGATATCCCAGGATTGTCCTTGTTTTCCCCAAGATTATCCTGATTTTCCCCAGAAATATCCTGAATTTTTCCCTTAGCCCTGAGGGCCTGTCAGGCCTCAAAAAAGGTGGTTCAGGATGCCCTTCCACACCTCGGGTTCTTCCTAGGATTATCCCAAAATTTCTACAGTATTATCCCAATTTTTTTCCCAGGATTATCCCAGGTTTCCCTGGTAGCCTTTAGGGCCCCAGTAAAGGTAGGTTAGTAGTTCAGTAGGCGGTTTGGGGGTGTCTTTGCCTCCCCCCACCTTCCCCTCCGCACTTTTGGGGTCTTTCCAGAGTTACTGTTGAATTCTCCCAGTTTCTGCTGGAATTGTCCCAGCTTTCCCTGGGATAATCCAATTTTTCCCCAGGATTATCTTGAAATTTCCAGTTATCCATTAGATCCTTTCTGGGCTGGAAGAAGGGGTTTCAGACCCCAAACACACCTTGGGGTCTCCCAGCGTTACCCCACAATTATCCCAGTTTTCCCTGGTATTCTCCCAAAATTTTCTCAGGTCTACCCTGAATTTTCCTTGAGATTATCCCAGTTTCCTCCAGGATTTCCAAAATTTCCCTGGTAGCCATTAGGTCCTGTCAGGTCTCAAGTAAGGGGTACTGCCCCCCCCCCCAAACCCTCCTTCTTTGGGTTCTCTTCCCAGAATTATTCAGGAATTATCCCAAATTTCCCCCATAATTCCCCATTTTTTTTCCTGGGATTATCACCTAATTTCCCATTAACCCTTAGGTCCCAACCAGCCTCAGAAAAGGGGGTTCAACCTCCTCCATTCCCAGTTTTGGGGTCTTCCCATTTTCCCCTGGGTTTATCCCACTTTTCCATAGGATTATCCAAAGTTGCTGCACAGTTCCCTTGAATTTTCCCATTTGACCTTAAATCCTCATTGGGTTGAAAGAAGAGAATTCAACTCCCTCTGTTCCATTTCTCGATCTTCCCAGAATTATTGTTGAATTATCCCAAATTTCCCCTGACATCATCCCAAAGTTTCCCCAGGATTGTCCCAAACATCCCTCAAGATCATCCCAAAGTTTCCCTAGGATTGTCCCAAATTTCCCCTGGCATCATCCCAAAGCTTCCCTAGGATTATCCCAAATTTCCCTCCCAATCATCCCAGAGTTTCCCCAGATGATCCCAAACATCCCATCAGGGCCCAGAAGCAGGGGCTCCTGCCCCAGTCCCCACTCCAGGGTGCACCCCAGCATTCCCGGGCTGTGGGGCTGATCCCGGGGGTCCCTCCCTGTTCCAGGCGAGTCTCCTGGCCTGCGAGGGGCTCTCGGGCGTCTGCCTCGTCCCCACCGTCGCCAGCAAGAAGATGATGCCCAAATCTGGCGGGAAACAGGACGGGAGCCGGGAACGGGGCTCCAGCCCCGACCTCCTGGTACGGAGTGGGAACCCCTGGCTGGGATCTGGCACCTTCCACTGGGGGATCCCGCCTTTCAGTGGGGGGATTTCACCCATGAATTTCAGGCTTTATGCCCTTAGTGTTTGGCTTTTCCCCACCTTTAATTTGGTGGTTTCCTGCTTTAATTTGGAGTTTTCCACCTTTAATTTGGGTCTTTCTGTATTTAATTTGGAGGTTTCCACCTTTAATTCGCTTTTTCTACCTTTAATTTATCTTTGCCTGCTTTTATTTTGGGGGTTTCTGACTAATTTTTTTCCTGCTTTAATTTGGGCTATTCTGCCCCAATTTTGGCATTTTCCACCTTAAATTTGCCTCTTCATCCTCAAATTTGAGTTTTTTCTTCTTGAATTTGAGTTTTTCTCCCTTTATTCATCCTTTTCTATATTTTATTTGACCTTTTCCACTTCTAATTTGGTTTTTCCTACTTTAATTTGGCTTCTTCTGCCTTTAGTTTTCCTGCTTTAGTTTGATTTTCCTACTTCTCATTTGACCTTTTCCTGCTTTAATTGGGTTTTTCTCCTTTCATTTCCCATTTCCGGCCCTTATTTCATTTTCCTTCCTTCACTCGCCCTTTCTTTTATTGGACTTTTCCTCCTTCATTTGGATTTTTCCTCCTTTATTTGGTCTTTTCCTGCCTCGGATTTTCCTGTTCTAATTCCATTGTTTCCCCTTCGATTCCATTATCCCCCAACTTCCCTATTCCCTGCTCATCCTGAATCCCCCCTCCCCAATTTCCTGCCCTTGTTTACCCTCCCCAATCCCCCCACCCCAATTCCTGCTCGCCCAATCCCTCCTTCCAATTCCTTCCCCCTTCCCAAACCCCTCCAAACCCTGCCCCCCTATCCCCCCGTCCCAATTCTTGCCCCCCAATCACCCCTTCCCAAACCCCTCCCCGCCAATTCCTGGTCCCGCAATCCCCCCTCCCTAATTTCTGCCCCGTTCCCAACCCCTCCCAATTTCTGCCCTCCAATCCCCCCTTTCCAAACTCCACCCCAATTCGTGCCCCCCCCAGTCCCTCCGCCAGGACCCCGACAAGCCCCGTGCCCGCAAGGACGACGATGCTCCTGAGGCCTCCAACCCCAAGAAATCCATGAAAAAGGCAGGTCCCCTCCCCCAGCGGGAGGTCCCCCCTTGATTTTGGGGTCTGGGGGGGGTCGGGGGCCATCTTGGGGGCCGCTGACACCCCCTCGCCCCCCCGGCAGCGCCGCAAGCGGGTTCCCAGCGCCGAGGGACCCCCGAGCTCCTCCCGCCGAGGATCCCAGGTTTGCCGCCGCGCCGCACGAGGAGGAGGAGGAGGAAGACAATCTCCCAAACTCCGGCAGGCGCAGGACGGCCGGGGGGGGGGATTTGGGGGGGGCTGCTGGGGGTCTCCCCAGCTCTGAACCCCTCAATTCCCCTCATTTCAGATGGTGGTGATTGAGCAAAACGGCTCCTTCCAGCTCAAGAACTTCATCTGCGACCACTGTTTCGGCGCCTTCCGGAGCAGTTACCACCTCAAACGGCACATCCTCATCCACACCGGTAGTTAATGAGCCTTCGTTAATGAGCAGCCCCCCCCACCCCTGCGCTCATTCCCGCCCCTCCCCCCGGCGCTAATTCCCGCCCGGAATTCCAGGGGAGAAGCCGTTCGAGTGCGACATGTGCGACATGCGCTTCATCCAGAAGTACCACCTGGAGCGGCACAAGCGGGTGCACAGCGGGGAGAAGCCCTACCAGTGCGAGCGCTGCATGCAGGTATTCCCGAGAGAATTCCCGTGGGAATGTGTGGGGCACCCCTGGGTTTCACAGCACCAGTCCAGAACTGACCCCCCCCCTTGTCCCCGCAGAGCTTCTCCCGCACGGACCGGCTGCTCCGACATAAGCGCATGTGCCAAGGCTGCCAGACCAAGACCCCTCCCGACTCCCAGCTCCTGCTGTGAAAGTCTGGGAATACCGGGAAGTTCAGGGGGTGCGGGAGGGGGGTGTTTCCTCCTGCACCCTCCCCCACCTCACCATGCTCTGCCTCACCTGGATTTCTCACCCCCTCTAAGGATGGGGAAGAACCTGAGCGCTGCCAGCGTGAAAAAACTTGGATCGTTCCTGCCCTCCGACCTAAAAACTTGGATTATGATCCCAAAAATCCTCCTGGAATCTTCAAGTGGCCCCACCCCCCACCATCGTTGTTCCCCTGAATCCACCCCTCCCCCTCTTATGAAAGACTGGGAACCCCCAAACTGCCCGAAATCCCAGCGGATCTGGGATACCTGTGCACAGGTAGGAGGGTCCCGCTGGGAATAGCAGCATCGATCCCTCTCTTCTTGGGGAAAAGGAGGGAAACTGAAGATGTCGGGGGTGCTTCAGTTTAGGGGGTGGATGCACCCCCAGTATTTTTTTTTTTTGAAAATAGGAAAAAAAATGGAATTTGGGGGCCTCCTTGAGTGGCGCATCCTGTGGGACACTCAGCGGCATTTCCCATTTCCTCTGGAACTCCTTTAGATTTTGTGGGGTTTCTTCTACATCCGCGTGGTTTTGGGGTGCTGCCTATGTCCCCCCATGCTGGGAGGTCTGATCCTGGGCCGGGGGAGGAGGAGGGGCAAGGAGCCCCCCAGTTTCCTGGAAAACCCTGTTCCAAGGGAAAGGAAAACCCCTGGATCAGGAGCGAGGTAGGGGGGACAGGACCACCCACAAGCCCCCAAACACGAGGGGAGCCCCTGCTCCCCCTTCCCCCCCATTTTGGGGGTGCCTCTGTTCCCCTATCACAGACTGCTCCAAGGGGCAAGAGAGATGTGCCCATTTTTGTGCCCTGAGCCCCATTTTTCTGGGCCTGTAGGAGTTTTGGGGAGGGGGGCAAATTTTGGGGACTTCAGGAAGGACTTTGGCTCTGCTGAGCCCATTCCCCGAAATTTGCAGGGCCTAGGGGGGCAGTGTGGAGGCTTCAGCAGAGGTTGGGGTGCTGAGGGAGGGGGGGAATTGTTGGTGGATTCTGGGGGGGGGGAGGATGGGGCACTCTAGGGCCCCCCACCTGCGAGGGCTCCCAGCCCCCTCACACCCCCCCAGGCTTCATTTTTGGGGTGTTTGTTGGGATTTAGGGTTTAATACAGTTATTTTGCTATGGGGAGGGGAGGGCAGCAGGGTGCAGCCCTGGGGGGAGTGGTGGGGGGGTCACTTTTAAACTGTAGTTTTTTCTAAGGGTCCCCAAATTTTGTGTCCCCCCTTCCCACTGTGTCCCCTTAGTGTCACCTCCCCCCACTGTGTGTCCTCTCCCCTCCCTTTAGGGCTTATTTAAATAAAAATTTGGGTTTTTGCTTTTTTTTAACCCCAAATTTGGGTCCTTTGGGGGAGTGAGGGGGTCCCAGAACCCATTTATGCCAAACAAAGTGAGGGGGGGTTACATTGGGAATATGGGGGCTTTTAAACTGGGGAGGGGCCCAGAGGTACCCTTCCTTTATTGCTGGGATCCCCTCCCCAGGTGCCCCCCTTATTCTAGCGGTCCCCCCAACTGGGGAGGGGTCCTCAAGTACCCCCATTATCTTTGGAGGGGTCCTTAAGTCGGGAGGACCCCAGGTGGCCCCCCTGTACCCCAGGAGTGCCCCCTCGAGGGGGGTCCCAAAGTTCCCCTCTCCCCCCAAGTCCCCTCTACAGCCCCCCTCTCAAATTCACGACCCCCCCAAAAATTTCCATAACTTTATTTTGCAAAAATAGAAAAGTCCCGAGTCCTCCCCCCAGCACGGGAGGGGATGGGTGGGCTGTAAACATGGCAGGGGGGCCCCCCAAAAAGGGGGGAGTTAGCAGGGGGGAGGCAGCAGTGGGGGGGCTCCCGTTCTGGGGGGGGGGGGGCGATGTAAACGCAGAGGAATAAATAGGGGTGAAAGTGCAGAGGGGGCACCCCTCTGTGTAGTGTAACAGGCTCCCCCTGAAGGCTCTGCACCCCCAAATTCGAGGGGCAGATATAGCAGGGGCCAGTAAGGCCAGACCCCATCCTCCAGCCAGGCTGGGGGTAACAGAGATTTGTAAGGGCATTTGGGTCTGGGGGGACCCCCAGGATTTTGGGGTCACCCTATGGCTTGAGCCCCCACCCTGAAATGGGCGGGGTTGTGGGAGTCACCTTGTGTCCCCCATCTTTGGTCTCTATAGTGTTGGGGGGGGCAATGGGGGAGGGCAGTATTGGGGTGTCCCTCCCCACCCCTACAGCATCAAAAAACCCAAAAGCAGCCCCCCCCCCCAAATATAAATGGGGTCCCTCCCTAGATGGGGGAAGTAGGATGTCCTGGGGTGGAATGGGGGTATGTCCTCCCCCCAAATCCACCCAGTGTCCAATAAATAAACTGTGGAAAGGGCACCCCAGGAGTGTCAGGCATTAATTTGGGGGGGAGGAGCTGGACCCCCAAACTCCTTCCCCTGACGTCCTCCCCAGTACAAGGAGGGGTGGCAGCGGGGTCTGAGAGGGCTTTAGCATGAAGCTGAGGTTTGGGGGCCACCCCCAGACCCCTCCAGCTTAAGGCAATAGCTTTGCTCTGTCAGTCTCTGCCCCCTTCCCCAAATTTGGGGAGGGAGCACTTTGGGAAGCTCCCCCTCCCAGGAGTAAAAGAGGGGGGCCCTGGAAGGCAGCTCTGAACATCCCATTCCATTTGGGAGGGGCTTTGGAGATCCCCCCGATCTGGGCGGGGGCTATGGCGATTTGGGGGGGCCAGGGGGACTGTCCTGGGCGGCAGGGGGGTCTGGGGGTGGGCCATGGCCCCCCACGTCGGTGAAGATTTCGGGGTTCTCCAGCATCTCCCGGATCAGGGGGGGCATCGGTCCCGGGATTTCCGTGCGCAGGGTGATGGCTCGTTCTGCCCCTGGGGGAGCCAAAATGTCAACACCCCCTGAACTTGGGCCCCCTTCAAGGCCTTGGGCCCCTCCTAAGAGATGGAACCCCCTTTCCAAAAAAATGAGCTTCAACAAACACCCCCTCAAATTTCAACACCCCCCCAAAACCCTATACCTCCAAAACCTTGGTCTCCTTCAAGACCTTGAACACCCCCAAAATGAGCTTCAATTCTCCAAAAGTCCTCCAAGACACCCCCCATGAGATTGAATCTCCCCCAAAGGCCTTGAATCCCACCCAAAAATGAGCTTCAACGCCCTCCCAAATTTCAACAGTCCCCAACTTTCAAAATCCACAAAAGCTTCAGCGCCTTCAAAACCTTGAACCTCCCTGGATACCTTGAACACCACCAAAATGAGCTTCAAACCCCCCCTCAAAACCTTGAAACACCCCCAGGACCTTCAACTGCCCCTCCCCGAGAGCTTCAACTGCCCTGGTGCCAGGGGCAGGTTTGGGGATATTCTGGTGGGTTTTGGGGTCCTGGAGGGGTCCTTGGAGGGTTTGGGAGTCACCTCCTTCGGTGGTGACTCTGAAAAGCGTTCAGGAAGATCACTGTGGCTAGGGGGTTTTGGGGTGATCCTAAGGGGGTTTGGGGGGTTCTGGGGTCCTGGCAGGGTTGCTCACCCTTGGTGCTGATGCCGCGCAGGTCAGTGATTTTGAGCAGCATCCGGGGGAAACGCTGCGGCTGCCGCGGGCGCCGGCGCCGGGCATAGACCCGAAGGGCCTCGAGCAGCGGCTCCTGCAGCCGCTCCACGTGCCGGGGCTGCTCCAGCTCCATCCGGTCTGGGCAGAGAGAGAGAGACCACCTGGATAGACACAGTCCCCATGTCCCCACATGCCCATCTTCTGTCCTAGACATCCCCGCGTTCCCTCAATATCCCCTTCTGTCCCCACTCCCACAGCTGAACAGCCCCAACTCAGTCCCTTGTCCCCATGTCCCCCATATCCCTCTGATGTCCTCCATGTCCCCACCCCCACAGATGAGGCAGATGGCACTGAGCAGCCCGGTCTCGGTGTCATCGAGCTGCAGAGGCAGAAGCTGCCCCGCGAAGGCAAACACGAGGTCAGTGAGGGGCCCAAATCCCGCGTTGTGCATCTGGGTCCGGGTCAGCGTCAGCCCATCCGAGAACGTCATTGTGTCCTGCTCTGGTGTGTAGCGGGTGCAGATCCGCAGCATCTGCAGGGCAAAAATCACCAAGGGACACCAGAATATATGCAGGGACACCCAAAATCCATCCAGGGTCACCAAAATCACCCAGGGGCAACATAATCCGCACAGGGACACTAAAAATCCACCCAGGGTCAGCCCATCCCATCACTGTGTCCTGCTCTGGAACGTAGCAGGTGGAGATCCACAGTATCTGCAGGACAGGGACCACAAAATCCACCCAAGATCTGCCCATCCTGGAGCATTCTCGTGTCCTGTCTTGGCTCTGCCACAGGACAGCCAGAGCACAGGGGAGAGTTGGGGTCAGGGACACCCCGAAATCGCCCAAGATCAATAAAAGCACCTATAGTACTCCAAAGTTTCCCACCAAGAGATCCCCAAACCCACCCAGGCCCTCCCAGGAGATGCCCCAGACCCTCTCCAGGACATCTGTGTATGGGGTGGTGAGGTCAGGACCACCGTGGGCCACCCCTTCAAGGAGCTCCCAACCCCCCCAAAGAATCCCTCACACATCCTGAGGAGCCCCCCCAGCCCCTGGGGATGCCCAGCCCTCACCAGGATGTCAAGGCAGGCAGCCTTGAGCAGAGTGATCTGGTCAGCCATGCTGAGCCCCGTGAAGCCCGGGAGCCGCTTTGCAAACTCCACGATCTTGATGATGCACTTGGTGGCCAATTCGCTGAACTTGTCCCACAGCCCCAGGTCCAGCTGCACCCGGTGATCAGCACTCGAGTTCTGGGGGCACACGGGGGCCCCGGCTCTCTTAGGGGGGTCGTTCAGGAGCCCCTGGGAACCTCTGGGACTCCAACTCCAGCACCCTGAACTTGTCCCACAGCTACAGGTCCAGCTGCACCCAGTGGTGCAAAACTCGAGTTTTGGGGGGCATGGGCTCAATTATGGGGGTTCAGGACCTGCTGGGACCCCAAGCCCCTGAACTCAACCCCAGCCCCAGATCCAGCTGCACCCCTTACTCAGTACTTGAGTTCTCAGGGGTGACGGGGTGCAGAGACCCTGCTCTGGGCTCCAGATTTGGGGTGCCTCCCATAATTAACTTCCCAAACATCCCCCACAACCCCCAGTGCTCAGTCCCAGTGCACCCCTCCCCCTGAACTTGTCCCCCAGCCCCCCCAGTGCTCATGTTTTAGAGGGGTCAGGAGGGAACACGGACCCAACCGTAGGTCTGAGGGTCAGGGTTCCCCCCAGAGGGACCCCCAAAACCCCCTGGGAACAGAAACCTGGTGCCCCACTCCCCCTGAACATGTACCCCAGCTCCAGCTGCCCCCAGTGCTCATGTTTGGGGGGCTCAGGAGAGAGCAGCTACCCTGCCCCAAATGCAAGGGTTGTGGCAGGGTTGGGGTCTCCCCCAGCCTTACTCACCGTGGTGTACTTGCCCAGCTGGCCCAGTGAGGGGAAGGTCTCCTGGTGGGCTCTGCTGACCCTCCTCACCAGCTCGGCCAGCTCGGGGCTCAGTTCATCCCCCCCCAAATCCTCCTTCACCTCCTTCTTCCTCTTGTTCCGGTCATTCTGCACAGCTGGGGGGATGGGATTTGGGGGTCAGGGGTATTGCTGTGCCCTCTCAGATCTCTCCAAGGTGAGGTTTCCCCTCCCCCAAAAAATCCCCCAATGGGACAGGAACATCCCCACCATGAGCATCCCCAGGGCCCTGGGAAACCTCAGTGAAGTTGGGGGGGGCGGGGGGAGGGGGTGTCTCAACTTTAGAGGACCCCCCTTCAGAACCAAAGGGGGAACCCTCACATCCAGCAGTACCCTCGACAGCCCCAAATGCTTCCCAAATCCCTTCCAGGAACATCCCCAGGCCCACTGGGATACCACCAGGGCCCTTCAGTGATGTTTTCAGGGGGTCCCCAACTTCGGGGGACCCCAGGCCAGACCCCCTCGCACCTTCCTTGGACATTCCGACCTGGAAGCACTTCTGGAGGCGGCAGAACTGGCACCGGTTCCGGGTGACCTTGTCAATCTGGCAGTTGCGTTCCCGGTGACACGTGTACACCATGTTCTTCTGGATGCTCCGCCGGAAAAACCCCTGCAGTGTGAAAACAGGGGGTCGGAGGGGGGCCAGGGCACCCCCAAACTGGGGGCACCAGTATCACATCCCCAAAGATCCCAGTAAAGCTCTCCAGTGCTCAGGGTGGAGCTCCTCAGTGGCTTCCCAGTATCCCAGGGTGAGGCATAGGGCTTGGGGGGCTCCCGTTTCCCGGGGGGTTCCTATTGTCCCTGAGGGGTCCCCAGTGCCTGGGAAGGGATCCCCATCCCCCAGGAGTGGTCCCACTCACCCCACAGGTGAGTCCCCAGGTCCCCCCATTACAGCTCCCCAGTGTTTGGGGGATTCCCACTCCCCCGGGGGGTCCCCCTTCCTCAAGTGGGTCCCCACTGTCTTGGGGGAGTTCCCATTTCTCAGGGCAGGTCCCCAGTGTCCACAGGACCCCCCCAGGGCCTCCTCCAAGTTCTGGGTGCCCATTTCCCCCACTCCCATCACGGGTCCCCACTGCCCCCCCCCCAAGGTTTCCACTGTCTCAGGGGGGTCCCCCGGCCCCGGGAGGGTCCCCACTGTCCCCCTGAGCCCCAGGCACCTTGCAGCCCTCGCAGGAGCTCACTCCGTAGTGGTACCCAGAGCTGCGGTCGCTGCACACGAAGCAAGGCTTGTGCACGCGGGGGGGGGGAGGTGGCGAGGGCGCGCCCGTGTCCCCCAAAACCCGCCCAGGGGAGGGCTCCAGGGCTGCGGGAGCAAAAACGGGGGAAGTTAAATAGCCCCTCTCAACCCCTCTCCAAAGGGCCCCGGCCCACATCGGGAGGTGGGGGAAACTAAAGCACAGGCAGGGTGTGATTTTGGGGGTCTTGCTGTCACCTCCCCGGCCCTAAAACCTGGGTTGCAAACCCCCAAAATAGGGGGCTGGGGGTCTGGAATCCGAGGATGCCACCAGGGGTGGGGAACATATCAGTGTGCCCCCTCTCCCCACCGACCCCCTCCTCAAATCCCAAAACCTGGGGTGAGGATATCCCCAGCTTCCCCAAACCCCAAAATTCTGGAGAAGGAAGGTCCCCAGCCCCATCACTTCCCTCCCCTGCGCAGTGCCGGGGGGGGGTGACACGGGGGGGAGGGAGGAGCCCCCCCCCAGCGCTCAGACCGGGCGGCACTGAGGGAGGAGCAGCTGGTTTTAGATTTTTTTTTGGGTGGGTTTTGTGTGTTTTGCTAAAAAAAAAAAAAAACCAAAATTGCTGAAATTGAGGAAATTCCGGCCCCGGGCGGCGCGTTTGTAACCGCGGGGGAGACGGGGAGCGGGGGAGGGGGGGGTACCCTGCGCGCGTGCCACAGGCACCCAAAAATAACCCGGGGGAGCAGGGGAGGCCCCTCATCCTAAAAACGGGGCCGCAATTGGGGACCACACTCCCCCCCCGGCACAGGGACCCACCTATCCTTAGCCCAGGTTTGGGGAGGGCTGGTTATGACGCCCCCCATCAATACTGGGGATTCCCCACGGAGGGTTGAGGAGGTGGGCGGGCTTATTTGAGGGGTGCAGGCATATTTGGGGGACCCCAATGTGTGTGTTTTCTCTTCAGGTTTGATTTTTCAAGGGGGAGGAACCCAAATTAAAGCATCCACCCCCCAAAAAACAGCACCCCAAAACCGTCCGGGAGGCCACGACGCTGTGGGCCCCTCCCAATTTTTTGGGGTACTCCCCGCTCCAAGGCGCGGTGCCCCCTCAGGCCTTAAATTGAGGGGAACAGGGAGAAGTTCCTCTGCCCAGGGTGGAATTTTGGGGGGGAGGATTGGGGACGGGACTTCCCCTCCCAAAACTCGGGGGGTGACGCTCCCCCCGCCCCTGCTGAAACTGGGCCCCTCCCCCACGCCGCCCCCGCGTTCGGGGGTTCGGGCGGTTTTGGGGCGGCCCCGCAGGGGTTAAAGTGCCACATTGGCAGCGCGGGGGGGACGCGGGGGGGGGCGGGCGCGGCCCTGACTGGAACCAGTTGGGCCGAGGAACTGGGAGGGGGGAGGATACACCACGGGTACAGGGGGAAGGGGAGACTTAAGGGGATTTGAAGAGATTCTCTCCCCTCCCAACCTGTTTGTG